ACAGTCCTCAGGTCAGGTTACAGGTTAGTCTTCCTAGCCCCAGCAGGGTCCTAGTCTCGTTACTTACTTTTGGATCATGACAGCATTTGTCTATGATCATACCCTCAACTTATAGTTGAGTATCGTGGCACTTTGGCCTGGCCCATTTCAATGCCAGGGTAGCTCACAGCTTGCCTTGGGTCCATTCAGTCCCTCATCAGGACCCTGCTTTTGTGGTGCTAGGAACTAGGGGCAACTGAGTCAAAAAAGCAGATGCCCAGGAGTAAATATTATTCAGAGTCAATCAACTCCCAAATTACAAAGCATAATATTAACTGTCTTCCTGTGTTCATACAGAAAGGACATTGCTTTAAGGTAAACTATGCAAAGGACATAACTTAAAATACAAGTTCAGTGTCCTTAGAAAGATCTGATCTTACAAGCTAACAGAATCTGATTAGAGAGAAAAGGTGATTAACTGGCTGGGGAGGAGAACATAGAGAAGAGTTTACAGATAAACAGAGGAATGGGAGTGACTAGGGAGCACTGTGATGGGTGTAACCCAATAAACTTAAGCTCCCTGTGGCAATGTTATTCTACAGGGGTGAGCTGATAGGAGCGATGCAATGGCAACACAAGGGGAGCCACTGAATGGTTTGGAGAAGTTTACCCTGGAGGGAGATGCAGAAATAGGAGAGCAGGTGTGCGGCTTGGCTCGTGGAGAGACACATATAATGGGTGGTTTCGTGGAGCAACTTTCACAAAATACCACACACTCAGTGACTTAAAATACATATTCTCCCATTCTTCTTGGGGCCAGACCGGTGCTCTGAGGGAATGTTGACTCCATGCTTCTTCTTGCTTCTGGGGTCTGCCCAGATTTTTCTTTTCTTTTTGGGTTACACCCTGCTGTGCAGGAGTCACTCCTGGCTCTGCACTCAGGGATTACTGCTGGCGGGTTACGGGGACCATAAGGGATACAAGGGATTAAACCCGGGTTGGCCACATGGAAAACAAGAGACTGACCCATTGTACTATCTCCCCAGCCCCCAGTGTGAAGCAGCAGCATTCTCTGTCCGGAGCAGCATCTCTCCAGATCTTCACACAGAAAATCTTCCATTTTATGAGCACATGACTGCACTTGGGGGGGGGGGGGGTCACCAAATAAACCAAGATAAGTTCTTTCTTTCAAGATCCATACATGGCAACACTCATTCTTTTGCCATTTACGGTAATTTGCATAGGTTCTAAGGGATTACAACAAGAGCATATTTGAAAGCTCAGGGGCTGGGAAGAGGGAGGTGGAGAACGCCATTCAACTCACTACAATGGGAATGATCTAGAAGAGAAAGGTAAGACTGGTAAGGAAGAAGGCAGAGCCCAAGAATAAGAGCATGGGAGAGCTGAAGAGTAGTTTAGGTGGTCTTTCCTTTGAAACCATATTTCAAAACAACACTAATGGTGAATTTTGTACTATGGAAATCCAAAAAGAATGTTTTTAAATCTGGAAGCGGGGGAGACAGCTGAAAGGGCCAGAAACATGCTCTGGGGGGAGGAGGCTGGGCCTGACCCCCAGCACCACCAGGCGGCCCTGTCACCACCAGGTGAACAATGCCATATCTCAGGCCCATATGTCAGGCCAGTGTGTCCAGGAGTGGCCCCAGAACCCCGCAGCACTGCTGAAGTCACAAAAAACATCTTAAAAAACATCTTAAAAAACACTCAGTATCCCTTGCCAATTCTGATCCTACTATTTACTCACCTCAATAGGGGCCAGTTGTTCCCCAGAGTACAAAGTCTCGCTGACTCCACAGACCGGACATGTGAGACCCCGAGAGAAAGTCTTCCCCTGCCCCAAAGAGACCCTGCAGGTGTGGGGAGCACAGCAGCAATGCAGATCTACCGCCTGACATTCATTCCATCCAGTTACCCAAACACCCCAGGAAGAACTTGGTGCATGGAATGCTCAATACCACAGCACCAGGGAAACTGAGTCCAGAGGCACCCACATGAGCTGAGTCACAGTCACCCCAAACCAACATGGGGTGCGGCATAGGGAACAGAATTAGACTCAGGAGGAAGAAGCCTGCGAGTGAGTGAGAGGCAGGAGGCAGCTGAGGACCAGCAAGCACCCTGCCACCCCTCCCCCCACTGCGGCCCACTCCTGCTGCTCCGAGCCTGTCGGGATCCCTGCCAGAGCAGGGCCTGAACAAAGTTAGTGGCTGTCACAGTCTCCCAGAAGCACACTGCCCATCTAGGGCTTGAGCGTGACCAGGGAGTCCCTTTCCTGCCGCACTGTCATCTCTGTCCTTTTGGTACACAGTGGGGCATCTGGACAGCTAGCAGGACCCAAAACCCTGAGCAGGGCAGTTTCCAGGAGTCTCACTCAGAGCCCAGGGCACATGAGCCCTGCATACCCCAAAACACCCAGAAACTGGATGGACAAAGGACGGCCCAAGGACTGTTTCTGCCATCCCAGAACCATGCCCCAGCTTTGTGCCCTGGCTCTCACTAGCATAACTGCTTGCCTTCAGAGAAGAGACACCTCCACCCAACCCAGGTACTCTCACCTGCTGTGGCGACCCAGGACTCCAAAGAGGTCTCCTTCAAGGCACAGCCTCAAGACCCCCTCAACCTCAGAAGGTTCTCACATTTAGATAGGGCCAGAACTCCACAGTGAAAGATACTGATGCAGAAATCACACTCCACCGAGCCCACAGTGTTGGCTAAGGGTGCCCAGTGAGGCTCTAATACTGCCCTTTAGCCTCTCACATCCTCTCCAAAAGCAGGAAAGAGCTGAGGAAAGAAGTTCCACTCCCAGCTCACACCCCAAGCAGGGCTCTGAAGGAAAGGCACAGGGTGGGTGCCAGAACTGGGGACAAATCACAAGTTGGGGGCACAGCAAAGGTTGGGGACAGAGCAGGATGTGCCTTCTCAGGGGTGGGAGGGTGGAGAAAGTCTGCGGCATGCACAGCTCTTGGGGACCCAAGAAGGTCAGAGGGTGAGCAAGGCTCGGGGCATCTCGCTAGTGAGCAATACTCCCCAAACCTAGGTCTGCACACCAGCACTTGACAAATGCAAAGAAGGAAAGCCTCTGAGTCATGTCTTTCTTAACAGAGTCACGCCCAATTTTTCATGACCTACCTGGCACAAACCAGTTCAAGAACTAACAGATTTAGAAGTTCTACAGAACTTCCTGCTCATGGGACAGAAGATTTTTTTCAGAAGTTCCCACTGACCTTAGGGTCACCCGAAGCTTTTGCCAGGAGCAAGCCCGAGATGGTTTTCTGGGACTGTGGCCTGAGACTGTTACACTGGATGCCAAAAGGTCAAGAATCCAATCCAAGACCCATGCTCAGTGAAGGAAGCCCTGAGAGAGGAGAGTGTGCCTCGGGCCCCAGAAAGTTCGGGGCTCTGTCACACCTGTCCAGCCAAGGTCTCCTGGTCAGATGCCAGGGACAGAAACACATGAAAAGATCCAGACTCAAAACTCAATCAACAGGAGGCTCCTGCTGCTATGTGACAGACAGCCACAGGACCCGGTTCAGCATGTGTCTCCACCTGCTCTGAGGGCCCCTGGAGGCACCCTCCCCACCAACGCCACAAATGCATTTCCCTCAGACCCCAGTCCACAGTGGTCAGAATCTGCTCTGGAAAGTTGCATTTTCTGCCCACATTTAACCCTGCTGCCCACTCCCAATGGCCAGCGGAGCTCAAGTTCCGACTCTGCCACTCATCCAGATGCACCATTCCGAGTAAGATTCTCCTCTCCCCGAGCCCCCCACTATGCCCTGTGTGGGACAGGTAACAGTGTCACCCTACGATTCATACAAGGACTAAAGGCTCTATGAGGTGAGGCCCAAAGCACAGTATAGCATGCAGAGAGCTTGACTTGCACACAGCGAAGCCGGGTTCAATCTCTGGCACCCTGTAAACAGGAATTCCCCCAAGCCCTACCAGGAGTGATCCCTGAGTACAGTGCCAGGAGTGAGCCCTGAGCACCCCGGGTATGGCCCCCCAAAAACAAACCAAAAAAGCTCTAAAGTGAATATAAACAACCTCACACAGTTCATCCTTGAAAAATATTTTTTCCTTCCCTCCTACCCCTGAAACTCAGTTTCCCTGTCACAGTTCAAACCCCCCAAAAATGTCAAGCTCACACCACTAGGAGATGGCACAGCTGGCCAGACAGAGGCGACCCTCACTGCCAGGTTTCCTGAAGGTTTGGACTCGATCAGCTGCAGCTGAGCTGCTACTGCCGGCGCCCCAGCCCCGAATCCTACATTCTCTGACTGCGGGAGAATGAGAGAGGGCACAGGGTCCCTCACCCTTTTCTGAAATGTTGAAGCAAGTCCCAGTCTGCAGGGGCAGGGCAGCACAGGATAAACAAGCTCCACAAAGGCCTTTAGCTCTGGCGCTGCGGTCTTGCAAACTAGCACCTTACCGCTTTTTTACAAAGAATATAGAGGGGACCTGTAAGGACAAACGCCGCATTCCCCAGTCAGCGGTGTTCCCCATGCCCTCCGCGACCGCCCCCTCCTTCCCCTTTGAGGCAAGCTCTCTCGGAACCTGGGTCGGGTCGAGAGTGGGGTCCACTCTGACCGCACTAGCCCCAGGCTCCTGGGCCCCCCTCCCCCAATCACGGGTGGCCGTGCTCTGGAACCCGGGTCTGGCGGTGCGCCGGCGCTGGGTGGCGGGACTGGAGCAAAGAGTTCCCCGCAAAGGAGGCACTGCACTCGGCAAGCCCCAGCGCCCGAGTCTCCTCACGCCAGCGGGGTTGTGCTTTCCCCGAGTTTCCAGCGTGTCACAGAAGCCCTCGAGTGACCGCTCAGCGGATGCCCTTCTCTGGACATCGGGCGCCCCGAGAAGCGCAGTGGGCAGTGACCGCCGGGTCCAGGGCGCCCTCCGGGCTGCGGACCTGAGCCCAGCGCCGCGCGGGCCGGGGGTCCCGGGAGTGCGGAACGTGGGTCCGGAGGGGACGCTCGGCTCGACGAAGCCCGGGCCGGGTGGAGCGCGCTCACCTGAGCGGGACGCGGATGGCCAGGTACCGGTCGATGGCCACGGCCAGCAGGCTGAAGATGGAGCTCTGGGTGAGCACCAGCACGAAGCAGGCGAGGAAGAGGCAGCTGTAGAAGTCGGTGCAGATGCCCAGGCTGATGGTGATGGCAAAGGGGATGGCGAACAGCCCCACGGCCACGTCGGCCGCCGCCAGGGACACCAGGAAGTAGTTGGTGGGCGTCTGCAGCGCGCTCGACGTGCCCACCGCGGCGCAGACCAGCACGTTTCCCGCCACCGAGAGCGCGGCGATGGCCAGCTCCAGCGCCACGTACAGCGCGTCCTGCGCCTCCAGAGGCATGGCCGGGACCGCGGCGCTGCCCGTCGCTCCCGGACGGCGCGGGCACGGCCCGAGCCAGGGCAGCCGCGACGCCCAGCGCCGAGCCCGCCGTGGGTGGGGGGGGGAGGGGGGCGGGGCCGCAGGCGGCCGGGGCGCCCATTGGCCGGCGCGCCCGCCCGTCAGGGAGCGCCGCCCGCGCCTTGGGGGGCTCGGGCACCGCACCGCACGGCCAGACGGGGCGGGCGGCCTCCGCGTGGGCACCGCGTCCGGCAGAGACGAGCTGCCCCACTTTCCCTCACTCCTGAGCTCCGTGGACGCGTTCCTGGGGGCGACTGCCGTGTCTCCCGCCTTTCCCGGGGTCGGGAAGGGGCACTGCCGCCAGGCCCCGGGGAGCACCTGCAGAGGAAGACCCCGACTCTGGGCACTATGCGGACCCCACACCTGCGACCAGCCGCGCGGGCTGCAGGGAGCCGAGGGCCCGCCCGGAGCCACATCCTCCCACCTGCCCAGGCTCTACAACCGGGACCTTTCCCGGATGCGGCGCCGAGTTACCCCACCCCTCACTCAGTGCCAGCTTCCTGCCTCGCCCACCCCAACCCACCGCGGCTCTCCCTCCCACCTGGCTCGCTGCGGCTGCGCTTCCTTCGTCGCCAGATTTAAATGCCCGGTTCCTGGAGCCCGCTGTGATCCGCCGCGCCCACCCTAACAGCTAGCTTGAAGCTTCACACCTGGCGGGAACTCCCCACCCAGCCCTGAGCGCCCCGGAGCAAATTGCTGGACTCAGTCAGGAAAGTCTGAGGCCTCTCAGTCCAGATAATTTAGAGATCAAATGAAATAGAGGGGTTCCAGAGTGATAGTACAGCGGGCAAGATTGCTTACACACAGCCGACTACGGTTCAGTCCCCCTCAATACATTTGGTGCCCTGAGTACGACCAGGAGTGATCCCCGAGCACAGCTGGGTGTGGCCCAACTCCACCCACCCACCCCGCCCCCAATAAAGTTCAGGATGGAGAAAGAAAAGTTTATTCAACAAATGCTGTTTGGAAAACTGGATGGGTACACGCAGGTGAAAGAAATTGGATCACTATCACACTGTGCACAAAGGTTAACCTAAAATGAACCAAAAACTTAGATGTGACATCCAAATTGATAGCACTCGGGGCCTGGAGAGACAGGACTGCGGAGAGGGTGCTTGCGTTGCACGCAGCCAAATCAGGTTCAGTCCCGGCCTCCCATGTGGACCCCCAAACCCAACACGGCCAGAAGTCATTCCTGAGCACAGAGCCAGGAGGAAGCCCTGAGTATCCAGGGTGTGGCCCAAGAAACAAAGGGAAGGGGGACCTTCCAAATTGAGGCATACGTTGAACACAATACAGGAGAAAACATTCCATGATACTTGCCTTCATGTGTTTAAGGATTCAACTCTAGTGGCATGAAAAACAAAAGAAAAACCTAAACGGAGTGCTGAGGTGTGAAAGCAACCATGACTGAAACAGAAACATCTCTTCCAGCTGTTGAAGAGGCTATCAGGGCAGTCTGACTGCCACAGCAAAAAATCAGAGAAATAACTCTTAGAAATAAAGTTTTAAAGGGCTTATTAAAAAATGCTATAACTCAAGAGCTGGAGTGCTGTAACTCTGAGATGTTTCTGAGTAAGATAGTTTGCTTAGGGGCTGGAGCAATAGCACAGCAGGTAGGGCGTTTGCCTTGCACGGCGCCAACCTGGGTTTGGATCCCATATGGTCCCCTGAGCACCGCCAGGTGTAATTCCTGAGTGTAGAGCCAGGAGTAACCCCTGTGCGCCGCCAGGTGTGACCCAAAAAGCAAAAATAAAAGAAAAAGATAGTTTGCTTAGAACACTTAGGGTGCGGGCATGCTCCAGAGAAAGGAGCTCTGCTTCTATGCAGACTTATGTTAAATAAGTAAAGAAGTGGGGTAAACAATAAAGGACTGAATATTTTTTATAATTTATTTATTTATTGAATCACTGTGGGAAAAGTTACAGAGCTTTCAGGTTTAGGTCTCAGTCATGTAAATATTCAAACACATTTCCCTTTACCAATACTTACTTTTTACCACGAATCCTAATACAACCCCACCTCCCACTCCTCCCAATTCCTGTGAGGCAGATGAGTTCTAGTTAACACTCTATCTACTTTGACTAGATTCATTGTTTTGATAAAAGATGCACCATTATTATTTAGAGTTTACCACCACCCCCCCCCATCAGACATGCTGAAAAAGCGTTGTGAAATGATTTGCTTTCTACAGCTGGGTTCAAGAATTAAAAGTTGGGTGTGATTTTAAATTTCTTTTAATGAGTTTATGATGAAGCTGGAAGTTATTCATCAGTTACTTGGTACTCCGTTTTGAATTTTCATGACTTCAGTTGATCTTAGACTACAGAATTGACATTTTAGGAGTGGCAGAAGAGGGAGTCAAGAGTGTCCAGTGTACAGCAGTAGAAAGATATGTCACTATGCTGGTGGGTATTTTGTGGTGACATCATACCCCTAAAGTGTATAAGCTTTGATGTTACCTCAATTAAAAAACAATAATGCGAAAAAAATTTCATCTTCAACTCTCCCCAAACCTGTGGCTTTCCTGTTTGACCTTAGTTACTGATCTTATCATCCACCACTCACACTCTCCACCCTCGTGTTCCCAGAAAGTGTGCTGATAATCTACAGATCTGTGCCACATCCAAATTAGTAGCACTGCTGATTTGACTTTCAGAACTATGCTTCTCTTTACCCCTAGGGCTGTCCCCTATTCGACATCCTTGCTAGTACTCACCAGAGATGATGATTGTCAGGCAATGGGAGAAGTTTGAATAATAATGTTTAGCAAGAAACAAAACACAGAGGAACAGCTCAAGAATAAATTGATCTTTACAGTGCAAATATTCTAAATATGAACATATTGAAAGCAATTAAATGCTTTATAAAATATTTATTTTCCCCTTTCCTTATTAATAGTGTTCGTGTGGTAACTGTCTGTTGGGCTGCACGCTTCAGTTGAGTGCTCACACATACTTGGTAATGGTGTGTGAGAATTTGTTCACTTTATCGATAGCACTGGGATCACAAATGGTAGTAGTGCTGTGAGACAGAACTTGGCATGTAGGGTAGTGCTAAGTATCAAACTCGTGACCATACATCTGCAAAGCAGGTGCTCTGCTACTGAGATAATCCCTGGGGCTCAAGTTATATACTTTAAGTGAATGTATATATTTTGGGGTATTAATTATGTTACATCAATATAGTTTTACTAACAGCAAAGTTCCTCAGACTTCATTATCAATCAACCAAGGCATGACAAATATTGAACTAAAGATAATTCTATTAAAGCATTCACAGTAGATGCTCTAACTGAGGGATATTATGGTGATTTTTTCCCTCTATTTTTCTACATAAGTTTGTTATTTCTAGCACAGTCCCTCTACTTCTGTATGCTTCTGTATGATATATAGAATAATATGAACGGCACCAAGGAGAACTTCTGAACACAGGATCAGGAATATCACCTGATTATTGCTGCGTGTAGACCCCAAATCTCCCCCTCTGCAAAATATAGAGGGAGAGGAAAGAGGTGGTAGCTTTTATGTAGTGGGCAAGGCTTGACAAAGAGGACAAGTCCAGATGAGGAGCCATGCATTGTGGAGATGGGAACAAAGAAGAGAGAAGGAAAAGATGTCAACCAAGTATTTTAGATCCAGCAAAAACTGTTCTTCAAAAAGATTATAAATCAGTGGTAATGGGCACACAGTGGACAATGGTATTTTATATGATAATATCAGTGAAAAGAGCCGAGCCAGTGTATTGATGAGAACTGACAGCAGGTTCTTCAGGTGTTCAGATCTGACCTTGTCTAGGCCGGGTGCTGTTCGCTTCTTTACAGACAAAATAGCATGTCGGATTTCAAAAGGGAGAACATTGGGAACGACATATCCATCCCGTGAAATTTGGTATGTGGGGAAGTGGACATGGCTATTAAAGAGATCCGAGTAGAAGTCATGGACAATCTTTTCCGTTGCCCTTCTGGAAGATGTGATAGATCCATCAGGATGTCGAGGGCAGTCATCTTGGTCTGGTAGTTGGCGAAGGACAGGCAGGTGTTGCGAATGCTTTTCCCAGTTTCTGCCACATCTGCCAGCACTGCTGCTCTTCTCTCTTTGAGGTCTTCCTTTATTGCTTCTTTGCACTGCTTTATGAGCTCAGACGTTCGCTTGCAGTTGCCTGAGGCTTGCGCCAAGCCACATTGGCGAATGAGCTCAAGAGTTTTTGAAGGCGGTATGGTGACGCCAGCAGGTCAGTCTGTACCTGTGAGGCGAGTGCATCAGCAGCCTGATGGTGCCTTCAGACTTCCAGATACTCCAAAATTGCTGCTGTGTCTTTGGCCAGGCCCCAAAAACTTGGGGCAAAGTTTACCAAGAAAGTAAACGGCCAAAAATAAGGTATGTGGGAAACACACCAACAAACCACCTCCGGCTCAGCTATATAAATGGAGGCATGGCCTCTCTGGTTCCTGATTGAGCTGCATAATGGCCATGATCCTAGAGACTCAGAAACAAATCTCAAAATCCAGCGGCTGTTGGCAGAAATGCATCCGGTCCCTGCAGTAGGTTACAGGTGCTGGGACAACCCAGGTGTGAATAGGTTTTATGCCTTGGCCTGTTCCCCCTGGCGGCCCGGTGGCCACCATCCTCCAGAGGCCACTGGACAGTCAGGTTTGGGCCCACAGTGACAAGACATGCAAGGCCTCATGGGATGAGGGTGGAGCCGGTCCTGTCCTCCCCACCCCAACGAGACTCCAAGTCATTGCCCACAAACGGCCTCTCTGGCTCCTGATCAAGCTGCTTAATGACCACGATCCCAGAGACTCAGAAACAAATCTCAAAATCCAGCAGCTTTTGGCAGAAATGTGTCCTGACCCCGCAGTAGGTTACTGTCGCCGGGCCACCCCAGGGAGGAAAGGGTGCTGTCCCTCTGCCTGCTCCCCCTTGGTGGCTCGGTGGCCG